TAGTTATGGGACAAGAGTCAAGAGTCACAAAGACTCACGTATGTTAAAAGTTACTTAGGCTACAACTAGTGTGGTGTATTTACTGTAGGCTATGTGTCCGGGGTCCTTCGCCTGTGGAACGAGTAACGTGACCACTAACTTGTCCCCAAACCAACGCATGTTTCTGTGAGGCCTATGTGTTTCACTAACGTTCTATATGTATTATGAAGGATGTCAGACTGGCCAATCAGTGGCAGACTTGGGCCCGGACTTTCGACTGACACAGAACCGGCACAGTGCCGGTTCCCGAACCTAATTAAGTAGGTTACTTACAACGGCATGAAAGACAATCTGATATTCTGTTTGTTGTTGGTTATTTCCTTAAAAACTACGACTTTATTCTTGTAATATTATGACTTTAATCTCCTTAAATTACGATTTTAATCTCATAATATTTCGACTTCATTCTCATAATATTATGACTTTTTCTCAGTTATGACTTTATTCTCGAAATATTACGAGTTTTTTCTCGTAATATTTCGACTTTATTCTCGAAATCTCCGATTTTTTTTTTCTTCAATGTGGCCCTAATACTCCGTCGTACCAAAGGTAGAAGGTAAAGAGTTGGTTTAATAATATAACCTCTGAAAGTGTTAAAGTCAAACCTGTAAGTGTGTATATGAGTCCAGTCAGCACTTAACACAAAAATTCTGCTCTGTAGTGCTGTTTTTTATGAAGTGTGCATTGTGGGTGTGTGTGTGTGTGTGTGTGTGTGTTACAGCAGCTAAAACAGACACAAATTGATTGAGGCAGGTGATTCTCTTTGAGGATGTGCAAGACCCTCATTATTCTGTCTTTCTCATTGTGTACGCCCCCCACCCCCCCACCCCCAGGACTCTGTTACAGTCATCCTCGCTCTCTTCCTCCACCAGTTGGTAGTTAACACTGCAGCGCACGCTCGCCTCGACACTTTGCACCCACTTGAACAAATTGCTCGCTGAAGAAATGACACTTCAGAAGTTGTTGAGATGCGACATCTCTTAATCGCAACACAAACTTCACAGAGGGATCAAACAAAAAAATTACAGTTGGGTCGATGCGTAGGGAGAGGAAAGCCTTGAAGGGCAAATATAATCAGTCACGCCTCAGATGCTCTTATTGACAAGTGTCAGTCAAAGGTGTTCAGTGTTGTCGCTTCAGGGGCAGTGTGTCATTTATCCAGGGACAGCAGGGTTTGAAAAGCAGGACAACTTAAAGTGATATAGTGTAATACTGAAACCCTGTGGTAAACATTATAAATGTCATTGATATAAAGAGTACATCGCAGACACCAGCAGGTATACTGTAGGCTGTATACAGTATATGCCATGCGTCACAAATAAGATAATTAGACAGCAGCACTGCTTCACTGTTGCATGTGTTGTTATTGACACCCCATTAAAATTGAAGGTGCCCTGTGGAGTTTTCTTATAAACAAAGTTGTGTTCATCACCAAAAGGCATTGTGTGTATCCTTGAGGTCTAACCAGCATGTTGAATGAATTTCCTTCATCATAAAACATTTGTAAGATGGCACGGTGATGCCGCCCTACAAACGTTAGAGTTTATATGTTCCTACCATGTCAGCATGGGTTTTCTGCAGGTTCTCCAGCTTCCTCCCACAGTCCAAAGACATGCAGGTTAGGTTAATTAGTGATTCCAAATTGTGTGTAACTGTGAATGGGAGTGTGAATGGTTGTCCGAGTATGTGTCAGCCATGTAAAAGTCTGGCAACCTGTCCAGGGTGTACCCCACCAATATCAGCTGGGATAAGCTCCAGCCTCCCTCGCAACATCTAACAGGATAAGCGGTTGCAGATAATGGAAGATTGAATAAAACATTTGTAAATGTTTATGGCATCTTAAAGTGTAGGATTTAGTGGCATCTAGTGGTGAGGTTGCAGATTGCAGACAACTGAAA